TTCAGAGGGAAAAAGTCGATTCTGATAAGTTTTACATCAAGTCTGCGTGGGGGACAAAACATGAAGAAATGTTGAAACTTATGGGTTTCGGAAGTGCAAATCATTAGAAGATCTCAGAAATTCATAAATTGAACCTTCAAGACATTGTGCCTTTCATTTTACTTTATAACTCCGATGGATGTCATAATGGTTGAAAACAACAGCAGTTCCGATACCTACTTGTGCAAGAAACCTTGGTTGATTATGTACATCGAGCTGGATTGAGGTCAAACTCATCAAGCTTTCACGGTAAGCAAATTACAGCTGGTATTAAAATGACCAGTACTGATCGTTTCGGCTTTCAGGTGGGCATCGTGGGCAGGACTGGGGCTGGAAAGAGCTCCCTGATGACGGTATTGATGCGACTTGCCGAACCCACGGGCACCATCATGATAGACGGTGTCAACACGACGCTGATCGGGCTGCATGATCTCCGCAAGAAGGTCTCCTTCATCCCACAGGTGAATGGTCCAGTTTATATTATGAGCACAAGTTTAACTGGGCTCAAAAAGCCTCGGTTTTTCCGAGAGCACAGACTCTCTGCGTTGTAGAGTACTTTATTTTGCACTTGTCGGACACCAGTGAGCTTGTCGTGGTCGTATTGTCTTTCGTCAAAGTCATTGACAGGCTATTGTGATGTATTATAATCATGCCAGTTACAGAAAGGCATCTTGGCAAAATGAGGTCAACTAGCCTGTAGGGCCTGTATATTTCCATCCACTTTGTGAAACAGATTGGTTTGTTGGTCTGAAAGACTTACGACTGGCTCAGCAGAATTGACGCAATTAATGCCCTGGCCTCTGGCTCTTTAATTAATTGCGTCTATTCCCCTATTTCTCCCATTTCTTTATTGTTATTCATGCACATCTTTTGAGTCCAGAGTTGAGACAAATTTCCACATTGGAAAAAATTGGTTCCTAAAATTTTTTCACAATTTTTTTTCCAACAACCCTCCAGCCATGTTATGGTTTGTGCCGCCGGCCGTGCTAGTCGGCGCCTTCTTAATGTTTTTGTAAGACTGTCCGCGTGATATGATGGGCTCTCAACCAACACGAATGGTTTACCTATCTTGGGTAAAATTATGTTTACCCTTTGGTAAAAACATATTGCTGTATTGACATTTTTTTGATTTTCAATTTAAACAGGATCCAATTCTGTTCAGCGGGACACTGCGGAAGAACCTGGATCCGTTCGATGAGCATGCTGATTGTGACATATGGAGAGCCATTGAAGAGGTGTGTTGATTACAAAACGTTGGGTGAAGCGAGCTGTTATAGAAATTCTCGTCAAACGTGACAACACTATGATCAAACAGGTGTGCGCTACTTGTACTTGAAGAGAACTTTTCAGGCAGGATTGGACGTATTTTCAGTTAGGCCATTTTTTACAAGAATTCTACGCAGGCGATGTGTTTGAGTATGCCCACTTCGAATTATGAAGCATGAACTGCTTGGCATAATTATCATAATCAAGTTCAACTCCTTTGAATCATTCCGATAGACGATTGGAAATTCGAAATAAATCTGAGAAATGTGGATGAAAAAATGAGGTGTCCCGATTTTCAGCAATTCTGAATCAAAATATCCTTCCTCTACTTTCGCACAAGTCCTGTGTACGAATTCCATTCCTACACTGACCATGAAGCCTGTTTCCTGGCATTCTCAACCAACCCAAAACCAAAACAAAACTTGTCGACAGGTGGAGTTGAAGCCAGCAGTGGAGGAGCTTCCTGACAAGCTGGAGGCAGTCCTGACAGAGGGAGGCACCAACTTCAGCGTAGGTCAGAGACAGCTGCTGTGCCTGGCCAGGGCCATCCTGCGTAAGAACAAGATCCTGATAGTGGACGAAGCCACGGCCAACGTGGACATCAGGTGAGCGTGCTTGTTTCGCTTTCATACTACGACAAAGGTCAGAGTTACATCTAACAGCTCAAGGTGAAGTCAGTCGTACCAAAGAGCATCCATATCTGTGTGTGCGAGGTCGGTCCTATGGCAGCAAGGCAGTAGCTGACACGTACACACGCTGACATGGTCGGACTGGTGTGCAGGCGTGGCATATATAGTGTGGACCTGTCCACAAAAGAAGTCCGCATAATGTAGGGTGCGATGGCGTTGTATGGACTCGCAAACGTCCACACAATGTTTTCCCCTCTCTGAAAAACAGTTTCAGAGGCATTTTGGGGTCAAGATTATTTGTGGCAAAATGAAGAGGAACAGCCCAGGAAATCATCATCAAAAATCCACCTCGAAGGAGTTATCCTGGTTGGAGAAATAGGAGCATTTTCCTCGAGTTTCCTTAACCACAGGAGAACAAAAGAGTGTCTACACTTTCCATGTAAAACAGGTATGTGTGTGATGTCGGGTGCTTCTTCTCGAATGACCTTGCCTTTTTAAAATATGGAAATGGTTCGTTGCTGTGGCAAGGAAATAGTCAGTGTTTTCTGTTTTTATAGGACTTCTTCAGTCGTGACAGTGACCCACATGAGGTCTGTCTACCGTACAAAAACAGTCATTATTCTCAGTTATAAGTAATCGGCTGGTAGTGTTTAAGCTCTTCCGTGTGACTGCTGTTGCCTCTATTGCATTTATAGAACTGACCGGTTGATCCAGGCAACTATCCGACAGCGATTCAAGCACTGCACGGTCCTAACCATAGCTCACCGCCTCAACACCATCATGGACTCCGACAAGGTCATGGTAAGAGGCTTTCAATGGAAGGTGCACCGTTGTAATCCCCAATTGGAACTCTCCTTCAGACATTCTCCTTTAATCACATTTTGAGTCCACACACTGCATGTTAAGTATAATAAAGTAAAGTAAAGCACAATAGACATAATATAATGTTGTAATATTCATCGTAACATTCATCTCAACCCACCTCTTTGACTACTTGAGGTGTTGTATTCCAACAACGCATGCTCAAAATGAAGCGCCTCCAAGGTCATTCAGGAACAGCCACGCGCAGGCGTGGGGTCGCCCCCCGACTTGCATAATGTGGTTTGTTCCTGAATGGCCTTACCCTTTTTGAAATATCAACTCGGCTCATTCATGTCGCTCACAGCTCGATCTCGTCCTTTTCCAGGTACTTGATGCTGGTCGTCTGATCGAGTTTGACGAGCCTTACATTCTGCTCCAGAAGGAGGGCAGTGCCTTCACCAGGATGGTCAAAGAGACAGGCAAGGCTGAAACGGCCAAACTCTTCCAGATCGCTGCTGACAAACATGCGGAAAAAGCTTCCCCTCAACCTGGAAGACGCTGATATACCGGTCTGTTTGTAACATGAAAAATATCGATCGGCCCGAAGTGACAACAAACAATTTAAAACTTTTGAAGTGATATGCGATAAAGTCAATGCCGCTCGTCATACTGGTGTGCAATTTTACTCGTTCACTGACCGTGGATTACTGTAAAATATGTTGTTTGGTATGACAGAGTTGTACTTGCGTTCTTTAAAATGCCGGCTGTCTTTTAATGTCTGCAATTTTTATGGGTGGATTTCCTGGTATGCTTCACAAACTGATCTAGGAGCACCCCGTTCCCAACTGAAGATTTTGTTTAAATTTTGCATGATATCAAGCATTCATTACATGCACATAGGAAGATGTTTATTATGTAATTATTACTTTTTTCCAAATGGTTGAGGTACCAAGAGAAAAGCTTCTTATTTTAAAAACACTGGGTAGACTAACAACAGAACAACGACGTTAATTTGCTGTAGCATTTCTGCGTTTGAATAATGATAGAACAAATTGTAAAATGAAACCGCCTTTAAATTGCATTTATTTATTTATAGCTACCAGTACTTGCTTCATTGCGCATTCTCACACTCATGCATATTCATAAACTGGTGTTTTCATGTATAAGTATATGCAAATCTCTTGCCTAATGCGTTCTCCTCTTATTTCACCAATTACTCACATCCATGCATGATCACTATACTAGATCACGCTCCAGCCTCTTCCATATACACGCACCACTTATTCTCTTCATGCACACCCTCAGATTTCACAGACCACGCACGTCTTTGGAATAATATCGGTAACACTACCAAATCGCGGTTATCTCTGGCTTGGTTAAAAGGTTCAAAAAGTACCTTGTCTCGAGTCATCTAGAATAGCTTCTTCTGTATTCAGTCCTAACATTTTTGTCATGAGCCATCTATGTTGCCTCACTTAATTTTTGTCCATCCCAGTTAAGATTTAAGCCCGTCTCTTAACTGAATTGTCCGCTGTTTTGTCCCGTCCTACTGTCCCGTATTGTCCTGTTTTGTTCAACGCATGTCTATACAAGACCTTCTCTTTCTGATAATACCTCCATTATTGCCGTGCGGCTGCTTCTTTCGGTTTGCTTTATTCTTTTCGCATCTGTACTCCTTGAATATATTCTATTGTCATCATTTTTACTTGCATTTTTGTTATATTCTATACATGGAATAATAGAAATAAGTGTTGTTGAATTGAATTTTTTTTTCAGATGCGAGGCTGTCATGTCTGCATGCGTTTAAGATTTCACTAACAAGGTTGTGGTTCAGTGTGAAAATGAATGTGGTGTCACGCGGTGAGGTGCCCGGGGTGTCTGGCGTGTGCTTGGAGATCATTGTGGTGAGACGCAGTTTCTGGAGCCAGTAGAGTCAGAACTCAGGCTTTTTCTTCCAACTTCTGCTAAAAAAATTTCTGATCCCTTGACTACTAGGAGAACAAAACCTACTCCACGCAAGAAAAGAAATAAAACCAAACCTCTGCAGAGCAGAGACATACATGTGTTATGTTTCAATTATTATGATCTATCTACACGCAATGGTAATTAATACAACAGACAGTTTCAACCGTTTGGGGTTACCCAACGGGCAGCACTTCAATATTCAGTGTGTGTTCACAGAAATCTTCGCTCATTCAACTGCAGAATGTTCAGTGCACATGCAGCTCAAATCAGAGACTTTGCAAATGATCTGCCAAAGCTATACATTGGTGCAGTGATACAATAATTAAACACACCATGTATAACTTCAGCACTGTGCATGAATGCACTTAATGAACGGACTGAAGTTGGAGGCCATTGTATTGAATATGCCGCGCGGTCACTCCAATAAGCAACTTGCGAGTTAAATTTGAATAAAGTCTGGTACCCTGTGTTATCTGAGTGTACAGAAACGTAACAATTTGAATTCCTCAGACTAAAGACACTGTTGCTCATATGCAGCAAGGTATGAGACGGAGAGAACCCCCCCCCCCGCTTTGTGCTGGTCATTGTCTCACAGGAATCTGGGGAATTCCTTTCAGACATCTTGGGGGGGGGGGACGTGTTAAGTAACAATAGTCTGGAATGTGTATAGGGATTGGACATGTTGGGGGGGTACCCTTCGGTCTCATTTCTCGCTGGGTATACTGTTGCTATACTTTGTGATTCAGGGCAAGCTTTTGCATAGCGACCACCATCTCTGGGATGGACTGGTTCCTTTTTGCCTTTCTTATCCATTGAGAACAGTGTATTGTTGCAAGGCGTCTCTTATGTTACTAAGGAACAGTTTGCTCCGAATCACGAGGTACAGCAACAGTGGCTTTAGTAGTTCAGACATGTAAATGACATGTATTTACATGTCATTTACATGTCCTGGGAGTAACACCCCTTCTACTAAAAAAGTCTGAAACCATTTTGCTTTTAATGAAAAGTATATTTCAACTGCACATCAGAGAAACAGAGCGATGAACGTGTTGCTTCTGTCATAAGTCTGGAAAGAAAACTTTGCGTCGGTGTTACAGAATTTAAGGTCGTAAATCCCAATGCGGTGTTGGACAATTTATTCATCCCTTTTAATTTGCATACTCTTTTGTGGAATTTTTAATTAAACAGTAAAATGTATCAAATAGCCCTGAATATTGTAGCGAATGAAGCATACAAACTCGTGAAATATAATGTATTGTTGTGGGTCGTTGAAATTACTGAGACACAAAGGCACATCTATATGGATTTCATTAACCTTTACACTACGTAGGCTTTTCGTGGGACTTAAAAAGGCTTATGCGGTGTAAAATTTGATCGCAATCCTTGTTTAACCTTAAATCCAATATTTCCCCTTGTGATATGCTATATTAATTCCAAAAAGCTAAAATGTGATATTTGAGACAAATTTTGATTTCAGTATTTCACAACAGCTTTAATTGGCACATGACAACAGATTGAGAACAAGGTTTTTTTCATGACCCTCAGTAATTTCAGTTTAAGAGCGACCTTTATTTTTCACTTAGATACCAATAACGTTACAGTTTTCATCCAATTTTAAAGATGTAGACAGCAGCAGAAAATGATTCCCACTAAAACTGGCACTAAATCACGTAAACGCGCAAACATCCCTACTCGTGACAAAAGAGCTTAATATAGCTATCGCCTGAAGGCCCACTTTGCGTCGATGTTCACCCACTCGCTCATTTGTACTTCCAGACTAATGCCCTGCGGCGAGTTACGTTCTCGCCCAGGAGAAATACCACTTTCAAAAGTTACTGCATGTGACCTGTTTACATTTCCACACTGGACAGATCGTTTCAATGTCGAAACTCCCTTCTTGTCACAAGCACTATAGGAGATCGTGCTCCAGCCAACATCTAGAGTAAGAATCAAGGGGTATAGCACTGCACCACGTGTAATATTCAAAGAGTAGTCTCCTGCAAAAAAAAAATGACACTGCTCAACACGAACAATGAAACGTAGAACATTTACTTAAATTTCAGAAAAAGCCCGGCTCTTCAAAGTAGTCACGTATATGTTCTGAAGTAGCGTCGCGGTTGTGTAATGAACATTTTTATCTCATTTTACCTGGAAGCTGACATGATACGGGAGGCCTGTGATAATGAATCCCTGAACGAGCAACAATTGTCCGGGACTTTGAAAGGGTCAAGCCCGATACTTTTGACATCAGTCTTGCCATTTCCTCTGTTGTTGCAACTCATATAGACCCTGCGAGTGAGGAACGCACGAAGTAAAGTTGTTGATGCGACATACACAATGAGCTATAAGCGTATTTGGTATTAAAATCTTCTACCAAATCCAGTGTTAAGGACGTAAATTGCTTTTACCCGCAAAGTAAAGGCAGTTTACCTTACAGGTAAACTTTGTGATTCCAGGTGAACTTTGTGGTTTGTTTTATTAATGGACCTTCAATACAAAAGCTTCTAGGCCAGTAAATTGGCCCACTATATTGCCTACGCGGACTGGATGGAATTAATCTAGCAGCGGGACTGCTTGTATTTCTGAAAGCATCTGACCCAACGGGCCCTCCAAGTCGCTCAATTTTGCATTTGAGCTCTAGGCATCAATTTTTCAAATTTAAGATGGCCCTCCAAGACTGATTTGAGGGTTGAATATCTCTGCAGAGAAATATCATTGAAAGTGATAATTGAAAGGAAAATGAAAGGTGGGATAGTGATCTTAAATTTGATAGGCCCTATTCTCAGGTTGAACACCTGAGAAACTTGTGAGCATATTCCCTGACTGTTTGAAATATGGGTATTTATTGATGTTGTATATGATAGCTTTTACTAATCAATTTTTGTGGTCAGCACCATTTTAAACAACGCATTTTTAAAGTCCCCTGCAGTGGTAATTAAAAACACACGTAATTTTAGGTCCGTTGAAGCCAGACAGCAAACAGAGAAAAATGCTTGTTCTGATCACAACGATGAGGTCCGCTCAAGCAATTTCATAAGGCTACAAGCACAAACTGTCAAGTAGATTTTTGGAGCTTTAGAACACCACAGGTTGGCACGTTACCTAAACCCCCTAACAGGATCAATAAGTGTAGGCTCGCTACTTACAAATCGATTTCGAGGTGACCCGCACGATCAACAAAGCATGACCATTGCAATAAACATCTGAGCCGATTGAAAAAGGCTGCTGCTGCTTTAGATGACTAAATTACAAAAGATTTACATCAAACATCTCGTTTCCACCACAAAGGCTGCGCTAAGGGTCAGGTTCGTCCCTAAACAGTAAGCAAAACTAAGTGGGGGGAGTGAACGTGCGCTTAACGTGACAAGTGGGCCAAGGACGTTCCACGGCTATTAGAATATGGCTCCGGTTTGCAGCCGAACCAAATACATGTATGCCAATATGTAATATTGTTCATCCGTGGTTCGTCCATACGGTTTATCGGAGCACTCGTGCAGGTAGCCCCACACCCAATTTCTAATGGCGGCCCAACACAGAAAGCCTTCTTCAGCAGGCGATAGCAAGGGTTCTCATGAGTACAGGGTCACCGAGCCTTATAAGGCACCTTGCCAAAGCGGGAGACAGACACATCCACTGTCAAAGGCAGGAATCTTCTCTAAAGCGTTCTTCATGTAAGTTGGTTTGAAATACATGTAGTCTTTGCATATCGGTGATCTGTTTCCAGGTTATTTTTGAGTTCCTGCTAATATCATGGAGTTATCCACGCATAGAAGACTTCCCGTCTTCTGGCTTTTATGTTTTAGCATAGAGGAAGGAAATTGAAGTGATAAAAGTTCAACCACGGAGAAGAGATAGTACCACTATAATCATGGACTGGGATAGAGGTTTATACATGCATGACATATACGGACGTGACAAAAGACATCCTGTGCACAAGCCTCATGAGACGCATTGTCTGAAGGTTTCAGTATTTTGCAAGGAAACGCTTCCATACCCTAAATTGTGAGTCAAGTTTTTGGCTCACTGGATCTCAGCAGTCCAACCCTATGAGATGTTCGGTTCTGCTCCATCTTCGACCCAAGGAGTCCTTCACCAAGCATACGGCCGTTAACATGAGGTGCACCCTCTAATCCAACGAGGAGAAAGTTCTTACCCTTGGCCTGAACTTTGCACTAGCCCCTTGGTCCTTACCTACGGAAGAGATTATCTAAGCCACCGAGCCCACTCCCTGTTGCCTTGACAAGTCCACTGCCGATGAGGTCCATCTCGAGATTAACCAAGCCCTCCGGAATCACGACACACCCAAGCCCATGGGATCCAATGGGAATTTTCTCGTGGGCGGTTCTGGCTGACATATTCATAGAAATATTTGAGCAGACCGCTATCGCCACCGCAGACCAACGTCCCAAGATCTGGCTCTGGTATGCGGATGACACAAATTTGTCATCTGACAGCTCGGGCAAGACAACCTCCGACTCTTCTTGGATCACCTCAACGGGCTTCACAACAACATCCAGTTCACCATGGAACAAGAAAGAAATGGCAGCATTTCCTTTCTTAATGTTGAGGTGTCCAGAAGTCAAGATGGTCGCCTCACCCGCAAGGTGTACCGCAAACCGACTCACACCGACAGATACCCCAACAGCTCCTCCATCCATCACCCCAAATCGAGTCATCTTGTCAACCGAAACCTTGTTCATAGGGATTACAATATATGCGACAAGGAACACCTCGCCGAAGAACTGCACCATATCTCCACAGCAGCTTCAACGCAACGGGTACAAGCCCCAGCAGATCAAGATTAAAGACCCAAGACCTAGATCCCCTCCCAGCCGAAGGGTCTCCTATACCCAAAGCCAACTAGATAAGGCCCCTAGTTCTGTTTCTCTCCCCTACCAAGGTTGTACTTCCCACCACATCCAGTGTATCCCGAGCAAGCATGACATTAAGGTATTCCATACAGCCCCTCTCAAGATCCACGGCATGCTGACATCCCACAAGGACTGACAAGATCCGCACCAAAGATCCCCTGCCGATGCGACAGAGTATATATTGGCGAGACTGGTGGGGACCTCTTCACCAGACTCAAAGA